AATGACTGCCGGATATCTGTAAAACTCGCCCAAGGAACTATTTATAGATAACGTAGATTGCAATATTGACAAAACACGAATTTTTCTATTCAGTGGCAAAATATTATATTTTAATATAATTACTTACTCTTATTCTAATAGTTTATTAATCATATTAGTAGTTGATATGTATTTTTTAAGGGGAGGCTCAGTTTCAAAGACTATATTGCTAGTATAATGTATAAATGGACAGCACGGGTAAAAGGAAACAAGTAAAAATTACTAGTTTCGTACTAGTTTACTTTTTTTTGTAACGCGTAATAACTTAGTTAAGATATAATAAAAATAAAAATATTATTTTAAAATATTTAAATCAAATTAAAATTGTATAATAGTTTATTACACATTTATTCGTAATTTCTAATAAAATTCCTATGATTGGTTCATATTTTAATTATTTATTTTATTTGAATAAATAGGTAGGTACTTAGCACTTACTTTATGGCACGTTATAGCTGTATGCTCGACGGTCGACAAAAAAATGAATGTCAAATAATAGTATTATTCAAATGTATAATTCTCTAAACTGATAAACTATATAAAATAGATTTCAAAAGAAGCTACAAGTTCAAAATATTTCCGTTGTTATTATATTTTCCCTGCGGGTATTTTTGTTATCTTTATGACCCAGTGAAATTCAAATAATTTCTAGATATCCCTGATAAAATGTAGAAAAATCTCATAACGTGTCGTCGAATCATATCAAATTAACTTCATTTTTGTAATTTATTTAAAATACCATTTATTTTATAGTATATTATAAAAAAAAGGTAATACTAATATATTATGCATCTTTTTTTTTTAATTCGGGGGTGTCTAGACATGGAGGACACCCCCCAAAATACGCCACTGCCTGTATTTGTAATCATATCATCATGTGTATTATACATGTATATTAACTCAAAAATTTGAAACTTTAAATGTTTATATCTAATAAACTAATAAAGTAATATTAAAAATTCAAATGCCATTTACTATTTAATTCAAAATCCAAACATTTTATTATATTCAAAATATGTGTTCCCATTTAAAAGACAAAAAGACAAAGTTGACACCCTTACAAGGCATGAGGGATGAACATAAAAAGTTTTAAATAGTTAATAATTTAAGAATAATGTGAAACTAAAGAAAACCAAAAATAATGTTTAAATTATATTTATTCTACAAGTAAATGAGTGGGTTATGATAAAAAAATCAGTCTGTATACTGTAATATAGTTTATCATTTGTAAAGGTGGAAGTAAATCATTTTTGTAATGTTTTGTTTAATTGTAATTTCCTGATCTATTATTACTAGACCAGGAATTAAATATTTATAAACATTTTTGAAAACGATAGTATTATTAATTTTGCAAAAAGAAGAAAAACAAAATATTTTAGTATATAAGACGAAATGGAATGAATCGTAGAGGAGAGAGGACCTCAGGAGCACCGAAGGTANATAGAGGAGAGAAGATCTCAGGAGCACCGAAGGTAATCTCTTTTCGCGCGGTACGTTTATGACATTAAGTTTTCATTTTGTGTATTGTTTTATTGTGTTTTTAGTGTATATTTATTTTGTATGTTTTGCATTGTTTAATTATATCTATAATAAATACATTTGAGTTATTATTAAACTTTTATTACTTTAAGTTAAGACACTAAGAAGGTTGTTTCTTTTAAGATACAACAGTACCAAAATTTCAAATTTCAAATTATTTTTCAATTCCTAAAATAGTAAATAGAAAAATAGTAAGTTTTTTTACGTCAGTAAACATTTCTATAATTTTCGTTTGTGAGGTTCATTAAAAGTTGGACACCACCCGAGAAATCATTCAAAATACGCCACTGGATATCTTTGTTATATGCCAACAGGTGAACTGAGTGATTTCATCTACTTCAATCCGCAGCATCATATTACAATGAATTAAGTCATTTCTATTGAATCGGAATCGTGGCGATAGTATAAAACAGAGGTTCTCAAAGTCAAATGAATCACGGACCCCCATCTAAAGACCTACAGTTTTAAAGACCTAACCCTGATATGTGCTCGCGGAACCCTGGGGGTCCGCGGACCACAGTTTGAGAAACTCTGGTATAAAATATGATCATCTTTTATGCCATCTATTATTCTTTTCTTCCCGTAAACTTGCAGCAATAACTACTGTGGTTTTATAACTTAAATTATACTTATTTAAAATGTTTGCCACAGAATCAGCAGATATTATTAATTGATTATAATTTAATATTTTATGAACACCGATGTTGTTAACGGAAATACTTAATGGTTTACCATGATTTTGACTTAATGAAACATATTTGTTATTAGTACTTACGGTACTATTTATCTTCATCGTAACTAATTTTTTTGCAAATAATGCCACAATTAGTTTTTCCCTTTTTTTAACTTTTATTAAGAACAATACATTCTAACTTTATATTTTGTGTAATAAGTTACATTTATGACACCTTTTTTCATAACACTTTATCATTTTATACATCTTCTTTTAATGGTTTTTTTGTAGTTCTTCAAATTATTTATTTTTTTTTTTTATAAAAATATGGCGCTTTATTTCTTATAAACTTGCATAAATAACATTCACATAACTTTAATGTGTTTGATCTCGTCCTTAAAATGTTTTTAAGATTGAAGTAATCAGGTAAATTAAAATGACATTTTTTATATTCGATGCTTTTGAATTTATATAATTTGGTTAAATTTAATTTAAATGGGCACAAAAACTGTTACTTCTGCTCATTCCTTCTTTACTTTATAATCTTCAATAAGTGCAAGATGTTTATATTATATTAAAAATTCACAAAAAATCGAAGTATATTTTCAATATTTTTTCCAACATCACGAAAGTAAAATTAAATTTCACAGATTTATTTGGTTTAAAGTTAAATATAATGAGTAAATGAACTAAGTAGGGAATTAGAAAAAAATAAGGAATTACTAGAATAAAATATTATTTAAATAAACAAAATCGATACGTTTGTACAAAGTTAACCAATTTAATCCAATTTATAATAATTACCATGCTGGTAAAGCAATTATTGTTTTTTTAAGTTAAGTGTTTATGTGTTTAACCTTTTGTAATTGTTTTTTTCTTTTATTCTTGTCTGCATTCACCGCTTGCATTGAAGTAAGAACATTTTAAAAGTTAAACATTTTCAATTGATTTTATTTGATTTTTTTACATCTTGTGTTGAGTACCTATCAAACATTGGCTTTTATAATAAAAAGAGTAATCTGAGGTAAAAGTGCGCACTTTTTTCTTCCCGCATATAACGTAGTATATGGTAATTATAAAGAATTTATATTTTTTTTAGCAAGACTAACTATCAAAAAATATAAAACTAAATAATATTAGTGAAATTTGAACTTTATTTGATGAATAATACAATATAAAACAATTATAAAAAACTTGAAGTAAAAATTATTTGATTAATTATTCAAATTCAATAAAATAATGTATAAGCCTGATTTATTCTAAAATTAATGTAAAATATATTATTTTTGAGTTACGTTGGACTTTTACCCCAAATCAACATTTTTCTTAAATTCCATGGTAAAAATAAAACTAGTTTTATTGTTATGTTATTACTCAATATTATTTATAATAATATTTTTGATACCCAACCAATAAAAATTAAAGTCATAAAAAATTGTTATATAAACTTAAAATAGTAATAGTATTCTTAAAGAGTGCAATATAATATAAGAGTATGAAAATATATTAATATTTATACAATGTATTTAATTTTATCCCCATGATTTTTGACTAAAAAATATGTAAAAATGGTCTAAGACTTGATATTCATTAATCATTATTTCATAACTATAAAATTTAATTATTTTATATTGGACTCTTACCTCAGTTTAAACACTAGTTAAAAATAACTTTAAATTACAAAATTATGTAATTATGAAATACTTTTTGGTTTTTTTTAGAAGTGGAAAACTTTTTCTCCCAATTATTAAAAACTATTATTATAGAAAATCAATAATTTTTGATGTTTTTAGTTTCAGATATTTCTCAATTTATAAATATAAACATAATTTTCAATGTCAACATACATATTTTAATAGATTAAATTATAAAGAATCATCCAATTAAGAAAATTACTGGTCGATAATAACTTTTAACACTTAATTCTACAGTTATTAGCATTTTAAAATATTGTCAGGAAATGAGGCACATAATTGAAAGTATTTTATCATTATTCATTTTTTGAGCGCACCACACCTCCTGCCTAAGTATAAAATATTCTTTTAACTTCTAAAATAACAAGTCAACAGATGCTATTAAACACTCATTCTTCTAATTAGATTATTTTTTTAACTAGTTAAATATGTATGTTCATCTTTTTAAGATATAATGGAAAAATCATTGAGTTTCTATACAACACACGTTGCAAAATCTTTAAGTAATTTTGACCATTTTAAAATGAGATGTAGTGAATACATTTTACATCATACGTTGCTATGTGAAATTTTTCGTTATATCGAACTATTTAAAAATCTTCTAGAACTTACTTTATATATTTTTGAAATGATAATAAACCTCAATAAGTCGAAATTTTTTATTTCCCAAACTTATTTCTGTTCCTTTTAATATTTGACATAGCAAGAGTCTACTATAGTTGTATAATATACACTATGGACTGTTTTAGCGATAATTTTTCATTACAAGTCCATCTGAAGCGATTATAATCTTATTGTCCAGTGTTTTCAAACTATAGGTTAATAATAAATACTTTGTAGAAAATTTAATTTTACAGTATGCGGTACACGAACAATTTTATGAAACAATAAATCAACTATTATACAATTTTATAAGGTGTTTATATTTCATGACTTAAAAAACTTTAAAATAAATTAATTAAAGAATATAAAATAAACTTATTAATATGCATAGGATTTTCATATCCATTCGTTATACCAGAAACACCAGATTATTAGATATCTCGCAGTTTGGACCAAGAAGCTCAACTGTCTGAAGATTGGTTCGGTTTCAAATTGCCTATTCCACACGAAGAAGAACCAATTGTACACGTAGAAGGACAGAAAAATGTAAACAAACCATTCTGGAAACGATTAACTAGATCTGCAGAGTGAAAACCGTTGCTGGTGTCATTGGCATTTTTCGTGTGCCAACAAGGATCTGGATTTTACGTGGTTTTGTTCTATTCAGTGGATGTACTCAAGGACTGCCGTGTGCATGTTGACGGTATGAAAGCTAACGTATTCTTGTCCGGCGCTTGAACGACAGCCAGTATCTTCAACTTGTTGCTACAGTCTGTACCAAAAAAAAACTCTCAATCTAATTAGGCTCGGGTATGTGCTATGTTGTGATGTAGTCAACTATTATTAAGCTCTTCTTTGCAATGTAATTAGGAAAAAATGATTAATTCAGTATTTTTCAAAATCAACTACATTTAGCAACACATTCAACAAAAATAAATTTAATTTCTTAAAAAGTGAAAATTTTTTACACAGGAATAAAATTCCCGTCAAAATTTATATTTTTTAAATTAAAATATTTGATGCAGGAAAACTAGTTTCTAGCANGCTCTTCTTTGCAATGTAATTAGGAAAAAATAATTAATTCAGTATTTTTCAAAATCAACTACATTTAGCAACACATTCAACAAAAATAAATTTAATTTCTTAAAAAGTGAAATTTTTTTACACAGGAATAAAATTCCCGTCAAAATTTATATTTTTTAAATTAAAATATTTGATGCAGGAAAACTAGTTTCTAGCATTTATTTTATTATTAGAAGTTACACGTACAAAACATGATATAATGGTTCATATGAACAAATTTATATACAGAGTGATTTTTTTATCATAACCCACTCTATTACTTACAGAATAATAATAATTAAAAATTTTTTTTTTATTATTATCTTTAGTTACACATTATTCTTGAATTATTAACTNATTTTTTTTTATTATAATCTTTAGTTACACATTATTCTTGAATTATTAACTATGTAATACTTTTTAAGTTCATCCCTTATGCCTGGAAAGGGTGTCAACTTTGTTTTTTTAAATGGTAACACATATTTTTAATTTAATAAAATGTTTGAGTTTTTAATTCAATAGTAAATGGCATTTGAATTTTTAATAAAACTTAATTTGTTTATTAGATATAAACATTTAAAGTTTCAAATTTTTGAGTTAATATATAGGTATAATACACAAGGGATTACAAATACAGGTAGCTAATTGGTTTTTTATGATATTGCTATCACAGTCACGGATTATTAATTATCAATTATGACTATCAATAGATATACTTTTTATATTGTCAGTTAGTGTATTTATAAACTCACAACAATGTACCTTACTATCATTGATAATAACAATGCTGTGTACCTGCTAATATCGATGTCATAAAAAATCAATTAGCTACCTGTATTTGTAATCCCTTGTGTATTATACCTATATATTAACTCAAAAATTTGAAACTTTAAATGATTATATCTAATAAACAAATTAAGTTTTATTAAAAATTCAAATGCCATTTACTATTGAATTAAAAACTCAAACATTTTATTAAATTAAAAATANAAATGCCATTTATTATTGAATTAAAAACTCAAACATTTTATTAAATTAAAAATATGTGTTACCATTTAAAAAAACAAAGTTGACACCCTTACCAGGCATAAGGGATGAACTTAAAAAGTATTACATAGTTAATAATTCAAGAATAATATGTAACTAAAGATAATAATAAAAAAAAAATTTTTAATTATTATTATTCTGTAAGTAATAGAGTGGGTTATGATAAAAAAATCACTCCGTATATGTGCATATATATTAGTGTTTACAAAAATGTCAATATTAAAATAACTCTAAATCGTTGCAATAATTTAAAGAAACGGAAATATAACATTCTAAAATTAGATTTATTTCGTAAAATTTATGATGGAACTTAATATTTCCGTTTAACTTTAAAATAAAATTATTTACCCGTCAATTAATACTCAAATATAGTTGCTCGTTTGCGACACATAAATTTATTGACTTCTATACTGATAGTAATCAGATTTATGAATCGTAGAAGTACGTCAAACTAGAAATCTATGGTTATTATTTTTTTAACTTTATACGCATAATGGTGTTAAAATTCGTCGTTTGTCGCAAATGTTAATTCCCCTGAAAGTAGTTGAAAAAAAATATATCTATAAAAATTACATGAATGGAACTGTTAATCTCGACTTATACATACGTTCTTGATTACCTTTAACGCAAGGTTTATGATAAGACATTTATTACAGTAGTTATTATTATTATTAAAAAATAACAATTATAGCTTGACAGATTAATTCTTATCGTGAATTTTACTATTAAAAAGGGATGTCCACTATCGATAAGCAAATTTATTTTACGGTAGCTTCATTGTGACAAGTCTATACACGTGTCACAAAAAATGTTTTTCAACAAGACTTTTTGTATTTTTATGAAAGTGGTGCGTTTATTTATTATTTCTCTAATCAATTTATATTGATTGTATCTTGTAGTTAAAACATTTTTGTTAATTATTATTTAATAATTGTTCGTGTTATTTTTATAGTTATTATTTATTTTTTCAGTTTTTCACTAGCAGCGTTATGGCTTACCAACAAGTCGTCGTTGGTGGAGCCATTGGATTTTCAGCTATACTTTTGGCACAACTCCGGTATCCTCAGTCGCCCATAAAAATAAACAGTGATGAAGCTTCGTGGATAGGTATGTACAATTAAATTTAGCATTTATAAGTAATTTTTTTTTTTTTACAAATTTCATGACAGAAATTACTTTTTTCTTATTTCAAATACTACTTATTTTTATCTTTATGATAATTTCATTTTATCACATGATCTTATTTTTTCATTTCAGCTAGTCTGACTACATTGCCTTGTCCTATAGGTTCTCTGATTATCGGATATCTCACCGATACGATAGGCAGAAAAAACGCTTTACAGTTTTCATACATACCGTTGATCCTTAGCATGACCGTTCTTTGCTTTGCAAATTCATTGACAGCAATATACGCTGCTAGAATTCTCGCAGGTTTGTCTCTCGGTGAGTAAATTTATTTTTTTTTTCCGGTTACCATTGATACAAATGTAGACTTCATTTCAAAATGTATATACAGACTTGAATGAAAATTTTATTATAAAATATATTACTAGAAATAAATAATGATTATATATTTCTCTGTAGTTTAAACAATTATATTTTTGTCAAATAAAAACATTAATGATAGTAAAGTATTAGAAAACAAGAGGATAAATAAAATCTAGTTAAACTATCTATGTATCATTATAGTTTTATTTATATAAAAATAATTTTTCCATTTTTTTAGGCTATAATTAGTTTTAAGATTTTGAGCTTCATTCTTTATACCCATAGACAGGAATACTAGAACATTTCTAATATCACCCAAATTAATTTTACTAAAAATTAAATTTACTAAATCGCTCAATTTTTAATGAATAATTAATACGGATATTAGTAATGGATAAGTTTATGTTTCTATAAATGTATAATTTTTTTTGGTATACTTTTTATTAAGAATTTTCTTTAGATGGGCGCCATTCGACCAGTTTTACTTTGTAAAAGAAATATATTAAATGTTTAATTTTTGGGAGCGATTTTCGAAAGTTAAGTGAGAGATTACAATTATAATATATAAAATCAATAACGTTCTATGCACCAAAAAAAAAATTTTTTGAGTAATTCATCATTTTTTAAAATTTGAAGAAACTTCTAATAAATATATTAAGCCTTCAAATAACTTATACTTATTTTTTTCTACTCATCGAAAAAAATTACATCTTACTATTCCCTTTATTTATTTATACATTTTTTTTGTTTATTTTTCATTTAAAATATTACATTCTTCCTTTTATATCCCCCTTTTCCCTCCTTAGGCACTTTTCTGGGACTAATTCAATTTTTTATTTTTTGGTACATAGTAAGTTTTAGTTTTTTGAGTCCTCATTTATACATTTAATTGGAGGATGGACTAAAAAAAAAATGTTAAATAGTTGTTAACTATTACTTTTTTAATATAATACTATAATTTTTGTAAGTTTGTGAGAGGATTAAACATAATTTTTATCTGTGGATTATGATAAAAATAAAGTGTGCTTAAATCTTAATTTTTTTTTTTTCATCAATAAACTTTTACACGTAAAAGTTGTGTACATACACTATACATGTACGTACATATATAATAAACTCATCACAGTGAGGACAAGTATAGATGAAATCTAACAGTAATAAACATTTTCATAAAAAACCCTTCGATACAAATATAAAGATAATCTTTCATTTTTAGAAGGGAAAATTAAATCATTACAAAATATATATGAACTCCTATTTCCTTATTTATATCCCGATTACAAGTTGTATGGTTTATAAGTATAATATTATACTATTTAACTGTTTAGTTAAAATTAAGATAGTAAATCATTTCTGACATAATTAATGATATTACAATAATATTCCTTCAAAATTAAAAATTCTTTATAAAAATATTGAAGAAAATGAAAATGATAAAATACTACATTTTTATACACCACAAAATCTATTTTTATTTTGGATGAAAATTCTATAGAAATATTTTTTATGACCTGTTCAGCTGTTAAATGGAAAAAATAAAAAATAATTTAATAATTAATATAAATCTATAAATATATGAGNTAATAAACTCATCACAGTGAGGACAAGTATAGATGAAATCTAACAGTAATAAACATTTTCATAAAAAACCCTTCGATACAAATATAAAGATAATCTTTCATTTTTAGAAGGGAAAATTAAATCATTACAAAATATATATGAACTCCTATTTCCTTATTTATATCCCGATTACAAGTTGTATGGTTTATAAGTATAATATTATACTATTTAACTGTTTAGTTAAAATTAAGATAGTAAATCATTTCTGACATAATTAATGATATTACAATAATATTCCTTCAAAATTAAAAATTCTTTATAAAAATATTGAAGAAAATGAAAATGATAAAATACTACATTTTTATACACCACAAAATCTATTTTTATTTTGGATGAAAATTCTATAGAAATATTTTTTATGACCTGTTCAGCTGTTAAATGGAAAAAATAAAAAATAATTTAATAATTAATATAAATCTATAAATATATGAGTTCATAGACATGAAATAATACAGAAATAATTAATTATAGAAAAGTTTTAATGAAGCAAAATTATTTTTCATAATCATATACAATTATCAGTCTTTCGAACTTATCAGGTTGATGAAAATAAGCGGAATAATATAAAATTAAACTCTCTTTGCAAAATAATGATAATTTTAATAAAAAAAAATTTTTTTGATGTAATAATTTCGTTTTTTATTTTTCAGGCACAGGAGGTCCGATATATGCTTACATAGCTGAAACAAGCCCTACTAAATGGCGTCCATTGTTTTCATCACTATTTTCTTTTTATGTCGGTTTGGGTATGACTTTGGCAGCAATACTTGGCATATTCTTCCATTGGCAGATGATCGCCGGTATCTTTAGCATTCTGAGTGTAATTGGTCTCATCATGCCATTCGCCATACCAGAAACATCAGCTTACTTAAAATCTCGCGGTTTGGACAAAGAAGCTCAACTTTCTGAAGATTGGTTCGGTTTCAAATTGCCTTTTCCACACGAAGAAGAACCAATTATACCCGTAGAAGAGCAGAAAAATGTAAACAAACCATTCTGGAAACGATTAACTAGATCTGCAGTGTGGAAACCGTTGCTGGTGTCATTGGCATTTTTCGTGTGCCAACAAGGATCTGGATTTTACGTGGTTTTGTTCTATTCAGTGGATGTACTCAAGGACTGCCGCGTGCCTGTTGACGGTATGACAGCTAACGTATTCTTATCCGGCGCTCGAACGGCAGGCAGTATCTTCAACTTAATGCTACAATCTGTACCAAAAAAAACACTCACAATCTTATCAGGCTCGGGTATGTGCTTGATGTTGTCAACTATTCTCATTTACTTACACGTGTTCACTGACATGGTCGACCCTCCCTATTCCGGACTTCTTATTTACGCATTTGTGTTGTATGTATTCTTTGCCATGTTTGCCGTGTTGCCACTACCATGGAGCATTTGTGGTGAAATATTCCCCATGTCAGTCAAGGGTACCATGACTGGATTACTGTACTCGATTGGTTATGAGCTCATGTTTTTTAGTATTAAAGTGTATCCATCTTTGGTAGCCATGATGGGCATTGAATGGGTCTGGACAATTTTTACTGGTTTTTGTTTGGCAACCGCATTGTTTGGAGCTTTCATCCTACCCGAAACTACTGGCAAGTCTCTAGAGGAAATCCTAGACAACTTTAAATGCCAACCTAAAAGTGCAAAGAAACCGTTGCCAATTTAACACAATATTCCTCTATTCTTTTCTACTCCAATTCACTGGGTGCACAAACAAAATCTCGAATTATACTTGGAATGATATCAATCTTCATGTTTTGGACAAATGGCGGGTCAATCTAGTCATTGTGTAAATAAAAAAACCCGGTTCATTATGATCATGAGGTGCTATTTGAATTTGTATAATATACAATGTATATATATATGTATATATTTTATTTGTTTGGAATCACTTCAAAGTTAAATTTAAATAAATATGGTAATTTCATATTTTTTGAAGATAAATTTTATGCCACTAAGTATTCATATTTTTAGTTTAAAATAACTATAAATAAAATTTTTTGAAAAAAAATTGTAATTAATGATTGTTTCATTATGATTCTTAAAACAATTAATGATTATAAAACATATATATTTATACTGTGATAATTTTATGTTAATTTGTGAATATTAATGATAAATTATATAAATAAAACATCTTCTTGATTAATATTAAATTATAGAATTAAATACATTATATAATCGCTTCAATTAATAAAATAATAATAAATTCCAACGAAACTGAAGTGACTGAGGATATCGAAAAATGTATAATAGTACTCATACCAAAAAAAGCGTAGTTGGATAATTGTAAAGAGCGTAGTGTCGTAACATAAAACAACCTATAATAAGTTAGTGGTAGTGTAGATACGAATATGATTATAATTCTGCTGCCTGGATATTCACGTACGTGTGATCGTACAGCTATCACGAAGCTCAGCTGACACTCCGGGTCGGTTGTGGGTGTTGTAAGGCCGTTGTTATAGAAATTGAATAAAAGTAACATTTAGGTATGAAGTTTAGATGAAATGCAAGACATATTTGTAAGATTCCAACCTGAAATGTAGAGGACGAAAATTGGTAAGTGAAAAGGAAGAACAAAGACGTGACTTTTTCACAATAAGCTGGATAGTATCTACCGAGTACTGAGACTTATAAATTATACAAAGCATAAGGACCTTTAGGTTTAAATAATAATTTGGATAATTGCTAATTTTGCAATAATTATTTTTTATTGTCAATTTATCAATCGCTAGTAGCGGATACGCTGTCTCTTTTTTATTATAATAATTTAATACTTTAATGGTAACGTGACCCATTACAATAGAAATAATAGAAATAATTTTCTGTCACTGAATGCAATAGTGTAACTAACTGTCAATCATCTTTTTGGCGGTGTTGGTGCTATATAAATGTAGCGCTATTTTCTTACAGGTTCTGCAGCCATATTATTTATGCAGTAGAGTCTTCTTAGAGTTGGTGGTTCTTGATGGCACTGTGTCAACGATTTCAAGCTCATTTATACAGAATATCATATATTTTCATAGGGGATCAGCAAATCACAGAATACATATCCCCGTATAATAGTCCTTTCCTTCATTTTATATAATATATAAAATTATATGATATTATCATGTATTTTCATAATCATTTTTATCTCATAATTACTTATTAATTACAATTTAATAATTAATATCTAATAAACTATACATTTTCAATAGTATATGCCCCATTTTATGTAGTTTTATATAGATTTACTCTTAATCCCCCATACTTGTGTTACCAACTGTACTAGCTAAGAAAAAAAGAGATCCCTTCCCTAATACTCTTAACTTTTGACCATGTTATGGGAAGTGGGGCATATGCCTTTCACCATATCCTACTGACTCGCACACCTTCTATTTTACACACCTAGGGCTGGGTAAGTTGCTTGGATTATCCCGGAGGGTCCTAGCTCATATATTACATCCCTACTTTCTTGATTTATCAGCTAATAATTATTTTTTAGGATCATCCCTTAGAACATGTAGAGGTTTCAACTTAATGTTTTTAAATGGTAACATACATATTTAATTAATTTATAAAATAGGAAATAATCTAATTAAGAAAATGACTGATCGATAACAATTTTTGGACTAATATTTCAGAAGTTATGATTGAAAGTGAAGAGTAGGTGCTTCTATTTTATCACTAGTCACTCTCTGTCCGTATTCCTTAACTCGCCTGGGTATAAAAATGAGAATAACATCCAAATTACTGCTCTAAAAGTTGTTTTTCGATCAGTCATTTTCTTTATTAAATAGTTTTCTATTTTAGGGGTGGCTGAGGGGAACTACGGCCATCTTAGCAAAAATTGTTATATCTCTGGTTCTAAGACTCTAAATGTTATTCTATTACAATAAATGGATGCATAAACATACTGATTGCATCATGTCAAAGTCTCAGATTTTTAAAATAATAATGTTAAAAATGCTGAAAAGAGCTGGAGTTGCAACCATAAAAAAAACTGCTATATGAATTTGATAAAAATGAAATAGCAATAAAAAATAGGAGATATTCAAAAAGAGTCCAAAATAAAGAAAGGTGTTAGGCAGGGATGTACATTATGACCTTTCATATTTAATACTTACATTCAAGAGGCCATAGACATTACAAGAGAGAGGACTTAGCTAGGAATAAAGGTAAATGGTCACAGAATAGACATACTCAGATTCGCGGACGACATTGCAATAATAGCGAAAATGAAAAAGATCTATAAATTATTTTAGGAACATTATAACTGATGATGGGAAAAGATTTACATATGAAAATAAACTCAAAGAAGACGAAAGCCCTACTATGTAGTATAGACAATAACATAACAACAAGATTAAAATTAAAGACGATGTATCTTTAGAACAAGTAAGAATTTCATATATTTGGGTAGCACTATAAGCTCAGATGGAAGATGCAAAAAGGAAATTATAAAGAGCTATATAATATGCCAAGCTAAGATGGCATTTAATAAGAAAAGAAGTCTTTTTACTTCAAAAATCATTGACCTTAATATTAAAAAGAATATACCAAAAACGTACATCTGGAGCATCATGTTATATGGATGCGAAACGTGGACTATTGTAAGAGAAGAAATGAGAAGAATAGAGGCATTCGAAATGTGGTACTATAGGGGGATGCAAAAAATAATTTGGACTGATTGAATTACTAATGAAGAAGTTTTAGAAAGGATATCTGAGAGGAAATTAATATGGAAGAGTATACAGAAAAAGCTAAATGAATTAATAGATCATACATTAAGGTACGCCGTGTTGCTATTATTAATCTTAGAAGCAATAATCGATGGAAAAAATCACAGAGGAAGACGAAGATTGCAATACCTAAGCCAGATCATAGAAGATCAACGATGTAAGTTCATATCAAGAGATGAAAAGGAAGGCTAGTGATAGAGAAACATGGAAGTTGCTGCAAACCAATTATTAGATTGAATAATGCAGAAAAAAAAAAAAAAAAATTTGAAATTTACTTCCATTTTAATCCATTTTAAGATTACTGAAAGTAATCAGTTTATATTTATCTATATATTTTTTTTATTAAGAATAATATCAATCTGTAGACTTTAAAATTGTAATAACTTATTGTGTTAAGAATTATAATTTAGCTGTACTACGAAAGAAGGTATCTAGTGACAGTATTTTACTCACTATTTAAATTGTTTATAATAAGAGAAAAAAATTTCAGAACGTTTAATGTGAGTTAAATCCTCCTTTACAAACCAATGCACTGGTAAATTTTTAATTTAAATTTAAGAATTTGAATTTTTAAGATAATTTAAACATAAATTTTAATATAAAATAAATATTGTCACGTTATTTTGGACCAAAAAATCATAACAATTTATTTAAAGATGAATTCAATTATTAACTAAAACAAATCCATCAATGATTCGATTTAAAAAGATGCCCATCACAAACATATCACAATGTAGCCGATTATTAAAAAAATAGAAATTAATTGTATTAATTATGCAATAAACATTTTAATGACTAAAGAAACTTATAGTATAATGTTCGTAACATCAACTATCCGAAAATAATAATATTTATTGACTTATTTTTCTTATAAATATACATTGTTACATTTGGTAAAAATGAATAAACGAGTTGTACTAAGCCATAATAAAAGTGAGACTATATTTAGCTTCGGTGCAAAACTGAGAAGGTATTAATTTTACCATGATTTTTTTTTTGTGTCTGTTACCACTTTTTCTTAACTCTCACTGGACCGATTTCTTTCAACGATACGTCAAAAGATCACTAATCGTATTTAGTCAAAAATATTAACCTCAAAAATTGAAAAAATTTCCCTCGTTCCCCATAAATGGGGGAAACCTTCAAAAAAATTGCTCATTTTCAAAATTTTTTTACTTAAAACTGCCATAACATTTTTAAAATTGACCAAATCAATATAATTTTTTTTTATAGATGCATGATGTCTTTATCTATCATTTGGTATATTCTTTTATAAATCTGACCGTTTAACTGCCTGCAGGGGGGGATTCAAAATGACAACTTTTTCACAAAAAATACACTTTTTCAACTTAACTTTTGAAAGTGTCCTGGAAAGTCTGACACTTTTATATACATCTTAAATTAAAGCTAATGTAATGTACTTTTTTATACAAAAAAAAAATTTCGGACTTTATTTTGTCTTTATGGTGAAAATCGTTAGCCATTTTCAATGCTATTTTTGTATGAAAATTCTCGATTTTTTATTTTACATTTTTAACTTTATAATGCTATTACTTATTGAAAAGTGTATGGATCAACACAATTTTTTTATGTAAAATTTTATTTATGTCCCTTTTTCATTCGACATACTTTATCTTTATCAGGATATAAATAAGGAAATAGCAGATCTCATATTGCTTTTGAAATAATCCATCATTTTTTTAAAATTAAACACTATCTAATAATTTGCATAGAAGCGTATTTTATCATAGTGATTTTAATCACTTTTAGATATCATTATACTTGATCCAACTATGCCACGCCACCACTGTGCCGCGACTCACTGTGCTGGGTTTTTTTTTGTTTTTTTTTTTATGTACAGATTATTTAATTGGAATTAAAATAATCCATAATGAATATTAGGATATTATTTACCTATTATCATATTATTTAATGATTTGTATTTCTTTTTTTTTTTTTTGTAATATTAATTGTTTTTGAGAATATTGTTTAAAAAAGGCGATTTGCACAAATCAAAGAATGTAATATTTTTATAAATAGATACGCTTCTTAAATTTTTTGACTGATATTTGAATGTTCGTAGAATTTTCAATGAACGAAATTCATAGGGATAGTTTTCATTTAATTTCTTTCAAAATAGTTTAGTTTCATAAATATCACCAACTTAAACAAATATAAATAAATACAATTTTTATAACTTTAAGGAGAGTTACAATAACTTTTCACTTACAATATGTGATAATCAGGTAAATAAACAATATGTTTTATACGTTGTTTTTTTATTATAAGTATAATTTTTCTCTTACAAAAATCAAAATTGATTAATAAAAAATAATTCATTATTTTTGTTAAAAAATTAATCGTATTTTTCTATTAAAAAAAATTGCTATACTTAAACTATAAAAAACACAAAGAACGGTAAAAAAAATAATTTTATAATTAAGCATTAAATATATGATTTAATAAGTAAAAATAAAAAAAAATATTTTAATGTTAAATTGTTAGAAATGAATACAGTGTGTTTCTAAAGCTTCATACTATTACGAACTGATATAGCTCAGCAATAGTTAATACCAGTTTAACGAATCATAAATTTATGGAAAGATTAATAAGTAAAGTTTATTTTATGTAGCTGATAAATACTGTAATGATTATTGAACTGCTGTTTGTTTGTTTGATATGGCGACTCTGCCACAGAAAGTGTTTAACGTGCTCTGTTTTAGTCAGTGCAAATCAGTAATAACTGTTCAACGTTATTTGAGAAGAATTTATGGAACTTAAGTCCAACTTCTTAAAGCATTCTATGTTGGCATCAAACGTTTCAAGAAATTGGTTATTTTTGTGCAAAGAAACGCTCAGGTCGATCTTGTTTCTCTGACGAAAACATCAAGCATGTTCGACTCAGTTTCACTAGTAAACCAGAAATGTTTACACTACGTGCAAGCCTGGAACTAGACACAGTGTGTAATTACTTTTTATGGGACTTTTTAAATGATAAAGTTTATGTACAACCATTACCTACAGACTTGAAAGAGCTCAAAACCAGAATTAAAGATGCTGTGAATACTGTGATACAGGATATAATCAGCAACGTTTGGGAGGAATTCGAATACCGTACATGTTATAACGTTGGTCATATTGAATTTATATAAGTTGTAATAAAACTAAATAAAACTAGATTATTTTGAGAATATTTTGAACTTCATTTCACCTTTATAACTTCATTTTTAAAATAAATAAAAATGTTGAAATCCTGTGACGTCTTTTGGGTCAAGAATTATACTAAACACTTTGATCGTCATATTTAAAACTAAAAAGTTGCTTAAATAATTTTATTAATCAGTTTAATGAATTATGCTTCTATAAACTAATTTTTTATAATTATTTCTTCACTAATTGAATAAAGGTTATCTTTTCTTAAACACATTTCAGATTGCTGTAGATATTCATTTTTTGTTCGTTTTGACTTGGTAAAATTATTTAGAATTTCTTCTTTAGTTTTGTTTACAGTTTCAGGCATTAAAAATATACCAAATAATGAAGCAAATGCTGAAAACCCGAAGAAAACCCATAAAACAGAAAGAAATCCGAACTGTTTAACTGCTGCAGGAAATATTTTAACACCGCTAAATAACATGACATAGGCTAGAGAATACATTATACCAGTCATAACTCCATTAACATGAGGTGGAAATACTTCAGCACAAAATGACCATGGCAAATATCCCAATCCAATGGCAGAAAATATCGTAAATGCGGCTAGACAAATAAAAGTTAGCCAAGGTAAAGGGTTAGTGGAATCATCCTGAAGAACTCCATTAATATCGTACAATTTTAAGTATATAGCAACTAAGGCTAATGAAATAGACATTCCAGTAGCTGAAATAAATGTTAAAATTTTTCTTTTCATGTTACGAAGAATAAACGATGTCACCACCGATGTAATCATTCGGCAAATGGCTATTAAGACAGTCATTTTGAAAGGATCGATAGGTATTTTTAGATATTTAGTAAAGTCGGTTAAATAACTCCATATGATAAAAATTCCAGAGTTTGTTTGTACAAAGAAAAATAAAAACGTCAATAAAGTGGGTATCCATACAGAACGACTTAAAAACGTTCTAAAAGTTATCCTTAATTTTCCATTTGTTTCAGAATATTTTTTAACTTCCACAAATATTGGACTAGATCCAAACCATTTGTAAACATTAGTAGCTTCTTCATGTCGACGATTTTGGTTTAACCAAACAGGTGATTCAGGTAAAAATATCATCAATATTATAAGACCAGCAATATTTAAAATTGCTAATATACCTGAAGATATTTGCCATGTCGTCATTTTTGCCATCGCAATACATAATAACATACCAACTGAAGTTAAAACTGCAGGAAAAGATAAGAAAAAAGCGCGATACGTAGGTGGACTTGTTTCACATATGTATACATTCATTGCTGCTGAACCACCACCTAAATGCATAAAATAATCCAATATTAAAATGAAACTCAAACAATAAAAATAATTTATTTATTTAAAAATAATAATAATAAGCAATGGAAAATGTATACATTTAACGTTAAAAAAAAATATCTTTTTTTTTTAATTACATTTTTTACAAAGACTTAATTAAGAAAATGCTTTAAGTTATAAATTAATGTAAAAAAATCAAATCCCATTATTAAAATATTTTTGTAATTTTTCTATGTTGAAATATAATTAAAACGAATTAATATAAAAGTTCAAAGAGCATATTATGCAAAGTGAGAAATTAAATTAGATAATATTAAAATTATTATCATTAAAAGATTCTACACGAATGTACAAGAAAGTAGTTTGAGAATATTTCTAGGAATGAAGTTATTATTAACAATAAAAGTCAGTGTTTCCTAAATATGTGGGCACTACATTCTCATTAAAATTTTTCATGTCTGTTTATTTTAATTAAAATATTACATATTGAAAACAAGTTGTTTTAAGAAAATTATTTCTGGTATAATTTAGAATAATATATTTATTGATTTACCAGTTGTTACTTAATTTTTTATTTATCCTTTATACCTAATCACTATTCAACTTAATTTTTTCAAATAGTAACATACATAGTTTGAACTTATAAAGTAGAAAATAATGTAATTAAAAAAATGACTGGTCGATAACAACTTTTGAACAAGTATTTCAGAAGTTATTAACAAATTATAGTACTGATTGGAGGTGAGACAAAGATGCTTCTATTTTTATCATTAGACTATTTTCGGTCTACCTTCTTATCAATCTAGTTGATATAGTATGAAGTATAGTAATATAGTATAGTAGTATGAAAATGACCAGTCATTTTTTTAATTACATTTTTTCTATTTTTTAAGCTAATTAATTATGTATATAAATTTATTTCAATAAATATGCACTCCTATAGGATATAAGGGATGAATTTCAAACAATTCTAAAAATTTGAATTATTAAAAAATATATATCTTAAGTATAAAACACGAATTTTTTATTTAANAACAATTCTAAAAATTTGAATTATTAAAAAATATATATCTTAAGTATAAAACACGAATTTTTTATTTAATTAAAATATTTCTAAACATTATTATTAGTTAAATTTCGACACTTCAGTATTTTTCTGGTAAATTAAAGTTATTAATTATTTTATTAACAATTTTTCTAGTTATTTTTTTAAAGTAAATAAAATTATTTACAAAATTTTATTAAATTTATGGAGTATTTACCGACAGATAATCCAACAATAGCTCGACTTATATAAATGTGAACAATCGATTTAGCCATAAACATTCCAATATAACTAATTATTAAAGGCAAATAAACTAGTTCCATACATATTTTACGACCATATTTGTCCATTATCACTCCAAACACTAGATTACCAACAGGTGTCAACATATACAGCAGACTAGCTAAAATTATTGGAATTATTTTAAACCATAATTAATAAAATATACAGCGAATTATTATAAAATAATCTTATTGAATACCAATCCACGAAGCCTCTTCGTCATTCACTTGAATACTAGATTCAGGTGACCGCATAAGAGGTAACATAACACCAGAAAATCCAACAGCTGTGGCAGTCAAAAAAATTTGATAGTACATGATACTGTACATACAGCCCTTAATTGAAAATTAAAATCGTAATTTCAGTTTATATTAAATAAATTAAAACAAACTACTTACCAACTTAAAGTAACCCATTTGTTTGCTAATTATTATCGATCCAGTCAGAAAGAAATTATATTAGAATTTTGTAAATAATATTTTATTCTACAAATTATTTAACGCCATTTTATTTGATGTTTTTAATTATTAAAAATCATATTATAGTAATTTTTGTTAAAATTAAAAAATAACATTGCTGTCAATTGGTTAATTTCTGAAATGCGTGACTATTCATTAAAACGTCTTTACACGTGATCCCATCACAATACACTGTAATCTACAATCGATCTATAGGATAATATACACTTGAAATATTATAATTGCAAAAACAAATATTTTATCGCTTTTTAAAAATCTATAACAGGAAAAAAAATTATGAATATGTATGAAGTGTTGAATCGTCTTATGATAAAAAAACAATAATTATTTACATTGTGAATAGTTAAGGCTTTGTTACAATGCTTTATCAAAAAGATAAAATACTGTTTAGTTACTAGTTTAATACTTTATTATATGGATACTAGACTAAAAATATACTACATACAAATACATACACGCATACATAGAATAACGTAAAACTTTAATATGACCCTTGAATTATAAAATTATATTGCATATATTAAAAAAAATTTTAACTAGTAATTAAGATTCAATGATCAACATAATTGTAGTGTAAACAGTGCAAAGCATTACCCCAAGCACGTTAGACCGGTCGTTTAATTGAATGACCGGTCTATGAATTACTAAATTATCTAATCCGTCACATATGTTCTTCCTTTCATGATTATATTTATTTTATTTTAATACACAAGCTAAAATAATAATGAAATTACATGGAAATATAATGAAATAGTGATACTGAGTAAGACATATAATAACCAACATCTTAAGGAATATATTTAAATTTATATTAGTAAATTTATTGTTACAATGGTAGAATATTTCTCACAAAATTATAATGAGTTACTTATGCAGGATGATCCTTCCATTAATTATTTTTATTAGTTGGTAAAGCTTGAACACAAAAATTGGAACGAAAAAACACAGCAAAATAAAATTGATACCTTCTTAGCTCTAATTGAAGAATAAAATTTATTTGTCTCTATAATTTCTAACTATTTAATTTTTATACACTTAAATATGATTATGTACAAAAGGAATTAAGTAATCTTAATTCTACACGGTAAAAAAAAATTTATTTGGAAAATAGTTAAAAATAATATAGTTGGGATAACTTTAATAAAGTATTCATAACTATCTTAGTTGTTAATTCTAACAGGTATTATTAAAAAACTATTAAATCAGTTCAGTAGAGGAATATGGTAATTACCACTAATTTATTCGGATACAGCAATATAAGGTTTACATAACATAATCTATAATCTAGAAACCTTGGTAACAACCATACAAAATAGTTCATACTACCATAATGTAATGGTAAACTATACACTTTTTCAGTAAAAACAACAGAAGGCCATTTAAAATGAGGAAAATAGCGTTGAACAAGAGTTATCGTGTTTAGACACTGTTATAATTTACTATCTGGATGTACGTACTAAAACGCGCGCTATTCGATTATCATTATGGAATTTCTAGTGACTGCAGATTAAAAGAAAAATTGACAAATTAGCTTTTTTGACTTAAAATTAATTAATAATTATTGTCAAAGATACAATAAATAAAGTTTAACGGAAAATAAGATTAGGTTAACTTACAATTAATGTTAGTATGGCCTGCTGAACAAGAATTAAAAGAAAAATGTTAAATTATATTGATAATATAACTCTGTTATTTAAATATTGGGTAAATCATAATCAAATTAGACTTATATTTATTAATTAATAATCCACAATCAAAAAAGTAATTAAATAGATATTAGATCCGTGTTGTTTTAACCGATCTATCACAATAAAAATATCGTTTTTATTATAGTAAATAAAAATGTTTGCAGTTGATAATGAATTTGGCATTTAAAAATTTATCAAACAAGTTCTATAATAATTAAACTTACTAATATTAATCGATCGATTTTCCTTAAAATTTCTTTGTTTGTGTAATTTAAAAACTAATTTTAAATAATAATAATTATTTTTCAGTACTCATAATTATGCAGAAGTGCTCGTTCATGGCTACAACTAAATCTAAATAAAAATACATGTTTAGTTAATGACTACGACAATTAATTAATATAAACATTGCAAAAAATAAAAACTTAGGCAAATAAAATTTTGGTAGCTAAATCGATTAAAAATATCACAAGTTAAGTTGGTAGATACTACAATTGACTAGAATAAATTTGCTAATTAGTATCAACGTATTACAATGAACATATTTTTATTAGATAATTAGTAGCTTAAAAAATAGCAATTAGTGTAACAACAAGTACACTAATCAATTAAAATAATTTGTACATTGTCAATAACAGACAATACATTACGATTCTCAATAATGTATTATTGAAAATGTTCTTGAAAACAAAATTGAATAAGTGTGGTATCAAAAAATAAATTAATAAAGAACTTTAAAAGATGAATAACTCTAAAATGTTCATTCATTGATGACGTTATCTAACCTATAAAAATCTTCAACTTATAAAATTACTGAATCATAAATGATGAGACAAAAGTTTTGTATATTATGCTAAAATCAAATTCTATGATCACCCCTAAAAGGAAGTCTCTTACGCATTTATTTTGAAACCGTTTATATTTTAGAAGCACTTTTATTTCAAAATATATCTATATGAAAAAATTGATCTCAAAAAAAAAATGTTTGTAATAAAACCAATAAATGTTTTTATGTTGTGTAAAAAAGCTTTAATCTTTAAATAACGACACGATACACATAAAATATTTAAATAAAACAAAAACTTAAAACTATTACTAAAAATGTAAAATATATTATTGTTTTCGTTTTTCTTCGAAATAAACGGACGAAGGTAAAAGAATAGTATAAATAAAACATAACATTGAGGTATTAATACAAGACTCGCCTACAATCGATTAGGTGTTGATTTTTCGGCAATGATTGGAAGTAGTTTCCCCGAATCATAATTGGGATATTTCATTGACCACCAATTGTATAGAAAGAAATGTACTATGTTTAGCTTAAAATACCCAAACCGGTAAGAAAAATTAAAAATTCTAAAAATAATTGAAACTCATTTTATTATTCTGATATATTTCCATGACTTCAATTGAAATCATAATACTCGTACGTTTAATATATAATGTTTTTACACAACGCATGTTCTAGCAATAAACCGGAAAATTTTTTTTTTTTTAATTTTCTGCACGATAATAACAAGCATATGCTTATACAAGTATATTTAATACATATTTAATTATAAGGCAAACTTAAAAACTATTGACAATAAAATTTTTTTTTAATTTTCTTAAATATTAAGTATTAAATTGAAAATAAGATTGTTTATAAAATAAGATGTTGGTATTATTAAAAAAAAATTGTTTTCAATCTACACGTACACTTGTTGTTTGAAAAACAAAATAAACATAATATTTTCATATTTTATAATAGTTTATTTTTATTTAATTACCTTATTATATTCCAGAAAACACCAAGAAAATATTATTGTATAATTTTTTCATATCTTAAACAGGATCTCAAAATTTCATAGTACATGAATACTTTAAAATCAAATTTAGTAGTTATTTCAATCGGCACTCATAAATAGTATTTGAGAATATTTCTAAGTACCTGTACTTTTCAATAATATTATTTTTTGTTTTGTGTACATTGTATTTTGATTCATTATGTATAATTAACAAAAGTATTAATTAAATACTAAATAACAAATAATTACTAACTATTAGATTTTAAAGTATTTATATATTTTTTTTACAATTAAGTGGTTTAAAAATATAAAGTTCAAATTTATTTAGATTTATAAGAGCAATGTATACAAATAATGTATGGAAGTGTTCATAGTCATACAGAAAACATTTTTTTTTTTCATAGCTTTTAATATATAAGCATATAGTTCAGAATAATATAATAACACTTATTAATATGTGTAATATTATTAAATATCAATTAAATATAGTATGAAATTGATATTTAATAATTTAGTATTGTAATTTTTACGGAGAAATTCTAAAGTAGTTATTAAATAGCAGAGTGTGAAGGTAACATACAGCGTGCAGTTGAAGAAATGAATGAGATGCTTAAAACATTAGAGATAAAAAAAAACAGTGCAAAAACGAAGATCTTAGTCTGCGCCAGAGACCCGAAAGTAAAAGCTTATGTATAGATAATCAAAAATTGAAGCAAGTAGAGAAAATGGTATACCTAGAGAGCGAAATCACATCTGATATGAGCGCCCGCGAACTAAAGCAACGCATAGCATAAGCAAATACTGTCTTTAGTGAAAATCATAAGTTGCTCACTTTAAAAAAGTTACAAAAATGTTTTGCTTTTAGCTTTACAAATAATAGACTATATTATATTTAGTAACAATAGATCAGGAAATTACAATTAAACCAAACATTACAAAAACATTTTACTTGCAGTTTTACAAAATAATGACCTATATTACACAAGCATTGACACAGCGCGCTGCATATGTACTGCGAACATGCAAAGATAAAAATAAAAACTCAACACAGTGGTGTCGCGGCACAGTGGGGACGTGGTATAATTGGGTGCAGTATAGATTTAATCTGATAGTGATTAAAATCACTATCATAAAAACGCTTCGATGCAAATCTGTAGATAGTGTTTAATCTTTAGAAATAGGTGGATAATTACAAAAGCAACATCAACTTCTATAATTATATCCAGATTAATAATTATTAGATTCAAAAATATAATATATAATTTTTTAATTATATACTATATAATTTTTATAATTAATCGTTTTCAAATTATTATTGATTTAGATTATTAATATGTTAAAAGTAATTATTTTTAATCAACATTTTTTCTGTGAAAGTTTATAATAAAAAAAAATGAATTTATTGCCATAACTTTTAGCTCAACTTGCCAATTTGAAATTGACATCATTAAATAATCAAAAATGGTATTGTTAAGATTAATATGCAGTCAGAAAATTTTATAATTACTATTTACGGTAAATTGATCAGAAAAGCTCGATTTTTTTTGTATTTCTATCGTAATAGATAACTTCAATAGAAATCATAGTAATCATTTCTAATTAACTTTTGTTGTTTAAAAACATTCTACAATTGAATTATGCAGAACTGAATTAATTTTAATGATTATCAATAACTATAAAAACCATTAAAAAATACATTTTTAAAAAAATAAACTCAATTGAGCGTATTATAAAATTTGATTATAATTGTAAAACTCCATTGTTAAATTGAGGTAAAACTAAAAAATATTTTTTTTTATTTGTGATTTATATAACAACATGTTTCAAAAAACTTTGGAATGTTATCGAATGTTAGTAACACACACAAATAGAGTTAAAAAATTAACAAATTACAAAGTAAAATTATTTATTTTTGTGGTAGAATACTTTTATCATATCGACAATAAATACTTTAAAAATATTAGAAATAAATGATTTTAATTGTTAGTATGGAAAAAGCTGGTTAAGCTACTTTTTATTTGAATAAGGAATTTTTTAAGGGTAATATCTTCAACTAAATATGAATTATAATCATTTGACATATCGTTGAAAAAAGTAGGTTAAGTAAGGGTTGGAAAAATAAATCGCAGCCACAAAAAAAACACATAGTAAAATAATATTAACATTAATAAGAAATTTCTTCTCGCGAGGGGAGACTACAGTAATGGGATCCTTGATATTTATTGAAGTTATTGAATCTAAATGAGTTAAAAACCAAATTATTTAAAAATTTTTTTCTAACTTAAAAAATGCAAATTGTTAATGCCAGCCCTCTGGAATTGAAATTCGTATCCTAAGCGTGATAATCACAAGTGTTACCGATTCGGCAACTGTAAATCTCAATCAATTGATAAAATTGGTAATTTATGCTAATTCGAATTTTAAAATTACTTTTTCGACTTTAAAAAATCATAGTAATTTAAATAAGTTTAACTTCTTATGTCTTATGAACTTTATTCTAAGACAATTTAACTATATAATATTCATGAAAGTCAGTGTATTCCCCTTGTAAGGTATTTTAGAATAAAATAAAATACAAAATACAGAATTTTAACACAAAAATAGCATATTTTTTAGTACGTTAGCCATTTTTACCAAGAAGAAAATCTATATTTCGAATTTTTTTTTCTTAGTAAATTATATAATATAAGCTTTGATTTAGATTAGATGAAAGTGTCAATGTGTTCTGGAACATTTTCAAAAATTAAATTCAAAAAGCTTAATTTTTGTGTAAAAATTGCTTTTTTGAANTCCGAAAAAGATCCAGACACATACACCCATTACCATTCCCAGGGAGGATCAAAGGACACGTTCCGGAAGAAGAGTCCATTTTCCAGACCGTCTTCAAGTAGGCTCCGCTTGACTCCGTCACTGGTAGGGGAGTGATGTAGCGACCAAAACATACGCAACGAATATTCTCGAATGTTCTCGTTATCAAAAACCTTCGAGAAACTTCGATAACGCCATAAGATAACCTACGCGGGTATAGAATATTCTAGAATTAGCGAGAGCCTTATCGGAGCTATATATATATCGGAAGAATCAGTCAGTTTAGTTAGTTCAGTTCAGTTCAGACTGTCTAGTCCGCGATACGCTACACGACCGCTACGCTCCGCCGCTGTGGTCATCGTGTATTATGTTTACTTCGATTATTTTATTTTTCCTTACTGTATTTNGAAGTTATTGAATCTAAATGAGTTAAAAACCAAATTATTTAAAAATTTTTTTCTAACTTAAAAAATGCAAATTGTTAATGCCAGCCCTCTGGAATTGAAATTCGTATCCTAAGCGTGATAATCACAAGTGTTACCGATTCGGCAACTGTAAATCTCAATCAATTGATAAAATTGGTAATTTATGCTAATTCGAATTTTAAAATTACTTTTTCGACTTTAAAAAATCATAGTAATTTAAATAAGTTTAACTTCTTATGTCTTATGAACTTTATTCTAAGACAATTAAACTATATAATATTCATGAAAGTCAGTGTATTCCCCTTGTAAGGTATTTTAGAATAAAATAAAATACAAAATACAGAATTTTAACACAAAAATAGCATATTTTTTAGTACGTTAGCCATTTTTACCAAGAAGAAAATCTATATTTCGAATTTTTTTTTCTTAGTA